GCTACCCGTAGCTTGTTGTGGCGGCTCTTCTGTGTCAGTCTTTGCAGCAGCTTTGGCATACGAAATAGCAGGTGTTCTTTGCTTCCCCCAATAAGACTTTGAGGTTGCCGACGAAATACTTCCACCTTCTCCATGATTGTTCTGTTCTCCTGAATCCAAACTCTTGGTATCCACAGACCCAACTTTCATAGAACTTGCACTGACGGCAGGAGACTTTCCTTTACTGCTGGTTTCGGTTTGTTGTTGCTTAGTGGCAGCGCTAGAACCCGACGGCCAGAACCTCGACACAGAAGGTTCTTTAGCAGAAGCCTTCCCAGTTTCGTCAACAGCAGCTTTCTTGGTACTCAATGCAGTTGCTTTCTTTCCCTTCTTTGTCGGCAACGATAAAATCGGAACTCCGCGGCCAACAGCATCGTCAACTGCAGAAGATTCTTCTTTGGCCAACAAAGACACAGGCTCCACAAGGTCTCCAAGAGTCGCAGGACTTCCCACCCGACTATTTCCACTTCCTGCAGCACTCGCACTACTTTTGATTGGCCAGAATCCTTTCATGACTGCAGCAACAGGACTCTGTGGAACGACAGGTTTATCTCCGCCAAGTCCCGGACTGAGAGCACTCGTCAGATCCGCATTTGATTTCCTCTTGAATAGTGTGAGTTTCGGAAGAATACTGGAACTAGGTGTGGATGTAGTGGGTACAGAATTTGAAGCTGAATTGGGTGGAGAAACGGATGCGTCTTGTAATTCATTGACACTTGGTGGACGACTGAATCCACGTTTCCAGAAAGGTACTGAAGAAGAAGACGTTGGAGGGGCTGTTGTGGCGCTTGACTCTGATTCTCCGTCATCTCTGAGTTTCATTACTTGTTCGAATTCACGTGTACTTGTTGCACGAGAGATTCCACTTTTATAGCTGTGTTGGTCTGTTGCACTGTCTATATCTGCGGGTGCTGTTTGCTTGCGGAGGGAGGAGAGGGAAGCGTCACGCGTCATGGAAGGAGGTGTTGGGTGTTGGAACGGAACTTGGATGGGAAGAGGGGCAGTGGAGTTGGATGAGGGATTACGTGATGGAAAAGTGAAAGATGGGACGCTTTTGGCGACAGGGATTCCTTGTTCTGTTTGCTGAATGAGGTGATGTGGCTCTTCTGCTGATGAGGAAAAGGTACGGCGATGCTGTGGAGGCATGGGCATCAAGTCAGGGTTTACAGCGTCCGAATCAGAGTTTTCAGCATTCAAGTCGAAGCGGGCGTTGTTTGCTGTGGTGAGTGTTAGTGTGGAAGTAATTAGATGAATATCGCACCATCAAAGTCTGAGCCAGAAAGATGTGACTGCAAAAAGTGATGGCGTCTCTTTTGATTTGCTGACGCCTTCTTTGACGAGTTGCTGTAGTATTTGAAGTGTCTGATGGGAGGTGGCGTTTGAGGAGTCAAGGGGGTTGCCGGGGAATCCGAGGCCGTGTCGTTTGAGACCCGGCGTCGATCGATTCCTCTCACTTGACTTCGAGGCGAGGCAGGGACGTTGAGGAGGGAGACGGGCTGTTGCGGCATTCGGAGTTTGCGCTGTCTCAGGGCCGAATCGATTAACTGGTCGTCTGACTGGACTTCGTTTGCCGAGATTGAGTTTCTGTGAGAGATGATCTTTGCTCTGACTGGCGAGGGAATGTGGCCCGACTTTGCGGCCTGAGAAGAAGAAGGAGAAGGTGAGACAGCTTGAAACACCACTACTCCTACCAACAACAACACACCTTCACCCGCTTCTTCCGCGTGGAAAGCAGTCGCCGCAGCAGAAATGCGAATCCGAGAAAGGCGGCAACGACAAGAACAAGAATCTCGGTGCCGGGCTCGTCGGGTGGCGGCGGTGACTCAGGCGACTCAGACGGCGGCGGCTCAGACAACGACCGCAGCGGCGTGGCTCGAGGCGCGGCAAACGACGGCGCGATGAAGTCGTCGCGGATCTGTTGCTGCGGATTCGGACACAGACATTGCGCCGACGACGAGGTCATTCACCTACTTTCGGTGAAACAAATAACTCAACTCGCTTTATTAATCCTCTCGCAACACTTCTACTTGCTCTTCTTGCTCTCTTTCTCTTCCTTCTCATCAGGTGTCTTGAAGCCAAGTACGCCTGCAATTGGCTGCACAAGTCGGTTGATGGCCTTGTGGCTCCCAGGCAGCACAGCCTTTGCAACCTGCCACCGCACTGGCCCAAGCGCCCGGTTCAACAGATACGCCAACAACACATTGCCGCCCTTTTCAAACACCCACGTGAACACTGTCAACTTGTTTGTGCGGCAAAACTCGGCTGGGTCTACACCGGCGTATTGTAAACCAATGTAGATGATGCCAAACGAGATCCATCCAAGAATCTGCAGTATAACAATTCCAGAGGGTCCAAACTCTTCGCCTAGGGCCTTGATTGCATTCGGTAGGGTTTCCATGATGTTGTTTTTTGAACTTGAGTTTTTTTGGAAAGTGAATGTGCGAATCCCCCTCAAGAAATCTAAAAACCTTCCTCCAGTATCTCAGTCTTGAAGCATTCTTTCTAGCAATGTCTTAAAAGTACGAGTATCGAACGTTAACTGAACAGCATCTGACACTAAAACACTTTCTCTGACACTTTCCCCACAAAAACGATCAAGAATGCCGCACCACTTCCACGCCGCCCGCGAAGCCTGTACGCGCTGCCACAATCAGAAAAAGAAGTGCATTGCAGTTCCAGACACATCATTCTGTGATCGCTGCCAACGACTCGGAGTCTCAGACTTGTGCGATATTGGCCAGTCGGAGCCCATCCCGATCCTGACAAAGCCGACAGCTTGTTCCCGTTGCCGAAGACAACGTAAAAAATGTGTCATGGGACCTTTGGCTTGCGAAAGATGTGTCCGATTGGGTGTGGAAAGGGAATGCATAAGACCTGATAACAACTACTCTGTTGTTGATCTTTCGCAATCGGATGAGCCCGATCTTGTACCTCCTGCATTGATTCCTGCCGCTCCTATCCCTCTTCTTCCTGTACAAAACTTGCAAAGTATGGAGGGAATCATCAACGTTGACGGTACTACAACAAGTAAATCAAGTTCTCCGTCACATTATCATGCCCGATCTTCTCTCTCGCCCTCACTCTTGCACCACTTTATGGACGCCATAGAATCTCCCATCGTAGACTCGAAAAACAGCGACTGGAGTATGGAGGATGCAGATTTGATGCCAACTTTTTCAGATTGGCTCCTTGTTTACAACTACCTCACAAATAACGGTACCGAATTTCCTGTTTCTGCAGAATTCGATGCAGAAAGGTTGCTGCAAAACTATTTTCAAAAGTGTGCTGTCTTGCGGTACGTTGTTCATCTACCTTTGAAACGTGATTCAATTTCAACTTTTACACTAGTTTGATCCTGTGCTGTTGGGCCGTCACTTTCAGTCATAATCCAGGAGAAGAAGTGAATTCGGCAATCTACTTCTCACGGGCTCGTAAAGCGCTTCTTCGATCTGATTTGTCTCCATCTGCGGACTTAGTCAAGGCATACTCCATGATCTACAGTCATGCTTTATGTGTGTATTCTTCAATGGTTTCTCAAAAGTTATATTCATAAATATCAATAGATCGCGACCAGCCTGCGATTGGACGGCCATTTCTTCGGAATGCAATGGAAATGATTCTCGAGCTCAAATTAGATGAAGATCCCGACACATTGCCATGGTTAAACCACCTCTCAATAAGAGAAAAAGAGGAACTGCGAAGGGTGTTTTACATATGCTATTATTACTACTGCCTCGAGCTTTCCACATCCCCCGACGCATTCCACCTCCCAGTCTCTGGCCACAAAGTAAACCAACCAATCCAAATCTACGACCCAAACCCAATTTTTGTTCAACTTAACACAATGAAATGGGTCTCAGAGCTCCGAAACGTAATCGGGTCCGCTAAACAACTCTTCTCCTCACCACCACTCTCAATCCCGCACCTCCTCGACCCCACCGCAACCTCACATTTACAAAACCGCCTCCTCTCAATCCAATCCTCAATCCCACCTGAATTCATATGGCATTTTACATCCCCCTTCCAAATCACCCTCCTCGAGATCCCAACACTCATAGCCCAAGTCCGAACCCTCCAAGACTACCTCAAAGAAATCAACACCCTCTACTACTCAACCATATCCGTCCTCACGCGTCCCATACTCTTCCTCACAACCATCCCACCACCCAGATTCACACCCTCGCAACAAACCACAATCGCAGCCGCGTCGACGCGGTGCATAGAATCCGCGTGGCGGTTTTCGGCTGTATGGGTGTTTTTGGAGTATATGTCGACTGGGCCCGGGTCAACGCTGTTGGTCGACTCAGAGCGTGGGTTTTTTGGGAATAAGGGGCTGTTGTATCCTGTGTGGGAATGTTGTATTGTGTTTGGTTTGTGGCGTGTAAGATGGATCCAGCATGGCGTGCTCAGATTTATGGGAATGGTGATGATGGCGAGGCTGTGCGGCGGATGAAGGGGATGGTTGGGAAGTTGAAGGATGGGAAGGCAGGTGGTGCTGCTGTGCCGATTGTTGATGGGATTGAGGGGATGATTTTTGAGATGGAGGAATGTTTGAGTGGAATCAGGAGGGGAGTTACTGTGAATGCGGGTGAGACTGGGTTGGAGTTGGGGATGAAGGTGATGACGATTGGCGGAACGCGTGTAGATGAAGATTCACCGATTTCCGAGCCGTATTGTTTTCTTGGGTTGCTTGGGTTTGAGATTGGTAATAACATTCGGTGGAAGGGTAGGAAGGAAGAGTCTTGGCGGTTATTTTGGAAATTGAACAGTTAATTTTAAGAGTAATATTAGGTTGAAGCTGTAGCTTGAGTTTCGGAATTGGCCACCCCACAGTTGATAAATCTCAAAAGCACCTTGAGTCTCCACTACACTCATTGAACCGCGTTTATGATTGCTCGCATTTGTTTTGTGGTTCAGAAGCTCCAATGCTTCCCTAAAACAATACGCTCTATTATGGAACGTGTTGTATAGTGTAGTGGTGATCACACTGGTTTTTGATACCAGCAACCCCGGTTCGAATCCGGGTACGACCTTCTCGTTCTTTTCGTGGTTGTAGTAATGTTGGCAGGTGGGGTTTTTGTTAAATGAGTCTCTTGCAATGTTATTGACATTGCCCCCAGAAATACTTCCTTCCCCATAATTATTCATACTTCGGCTGGCTACCTAGTAAGATTGCTGGTGGGGAGGTGGTAAAATGTTCTTGAAATTGAACAATACTTTTCAAACTTTTCTTAAGAGCTATTAATCCAACATACCCAACAAATCTTCTTCTTCTTCCTCTTCTGCTGCATCAGCACTGGCAATGAATGAGCCCGCAACAGCATCGGCAAAGAACTCAGCTGCCTCAACGTCACTGACACGACTCCCTGCCACATCAGAAACTGAAATCAGCCCAACTTGCTTCGTTTCCTTTTTCACCACACCCCAAAACCCTTTGTATCGGTCATCAAATGATAAACCCTTAACCTCTCCCATCAATTCGTTGTACCGGTTCCATAATCCACGTTTGACCCCTTCTTCGCGCATAGCAACCAAACATGACACAGCTTTTCCATAAAACTGAGAGCCAATAGATTCTTTGATGAATCCAATCACACGAGCCGCCATTTGGTTCATTGCAGCCGCCACAACTCCTTCATCGTTCCTTGAAACAAGTGCCTTGAAATCAGAAACAGGATCCGCCGTGCCGACAGAAGTAACAGCGGCACCTGCAACGTTATCAAAGGAAGTCGCGATATCCGCGGCCGCTGATGCAGCTGCATTCAAGACATCTTTTTCCAGCTCCTTGGCATTATCCACGCCACGCTTGAAACGTTTGCGGTTATCTTCCTTCTCAAGATCAATCTTTGTGATTTCAAAAGCGGATTTGAAAGCTTCTAGAGAGCGTTTGGCCTTGTCAACAAGCTCTGGCATCGGCAGAACACCAGCGACGAAACGTGGGTCGAGTGGAGGCAGATCTTTGGATTTGGGGTTGATTGCACGATGAGCGATGCATTGGTACATTCTTTGATATCCTGGATTAAACAGGTCGGATGGCTTGTACGCTTCTCCAGGTTCACTATTTTCGTTTTAGTTACACAACGGCAAGGAAAAGGAAATAATACGAACCCATCATCTGAATCCAGTGCTGTCATCAAATCCATATCATCAATGAAAGCATCAATTCGACGATCTGCTTCAGTCGTCTCCACGATTCTATGCAACATTTTTCGTCGCTTTGACTCTCCTGACTGAGATAAACCCGCCTGACTCAATAGATCAGCAGCCAAAGAAGCTGAAGCAGATTCATGAAAAGTTTGCGTTGCAGTCGAGCCACCGTGATTCAACAACAGAGGCGCCAACGTCGTAAATGAATACTCTCTCACGTCTTCCTTGAAAGGAAGCTGAATCCAAGCACACCAGATTTTTTTACCAATGTGGGGAACAAGGATCCCGAGTTTGGGCGACGCATCATTGATACGGACGTAACGAACGAGGGCGTACATATCTTTAGCCTGCAAAGAGGAGGCAAGCACTTCGAACAGTCGCTTTCCTTCAGATGGAGCCGCAGGATCTGGAATTAATTGCATAGGGTCGTTGATTAAGAGCTCTCGCGAAACGTCGGAACTCTTGATGAAGCCCAACATGCTGAATCCTTTGATTGTGTGGAGTTTCATGGCATCTCTATCTTCTTCGCTGAAGGGGATCAAGTCTTTGCCGTATTTGTATGCACGAATCAGGTCCTCCTTTTCGAGAGTGATTCCATCCATAGCAGCATCAGGATCTGCTCCATCAATAGCCACATCTTTGACTTTATAAGTACGTTCCATAGCTACGTCTCCGATGAACGCGTCGTTACTGCCTTCGGCAGCTTCTGCTCCAGCCCTAGACCATTTTTTCGCACTTGGGAGTTTTGCTTCTTTCACTTTCGAGTAAGCCCAAACAGGAAAACTGAGACTATTTGTTTGGTCTTCCGGGTCACCAAGAGTCATACCACAACGAATCAGAGTTGTGGGTTTTACGGAGCGAGTTCGCAGACTTCCCAAAATGGAAAGAGCCTCAGAACCAGTAAATATGTCTCCTTTTGTAGATTCGGCAAATGACCTCATGAAGCGTTCATTTTCAGCACGAGCAGATTTATCAGACTCTGGTGGTGGATCATCTTTGAAACCAAAGCCACTGGAGAAGCATGGTAAGCAACAGGCAAAACACAAGCGTAATTTACATTAAGTTCACTTTAACTTCGTAACTAATGGCTCTTTGGATAATCGAGCGTGTGTCCGCTTGATTGATGGGAGACGAAAAGTCCGACAACACAAAGATCGTCTTTGCCCACTTCAGATGTTTGCAATGCCTGTCAAGGAGCGATACAGCAACAACAATACCATCAAGGACTGTATAGGAGTCATTAGCAGTGGGGAAGTAAACCCAAGCAACTTACTGTCTCCAGAGCCCTGCCCCTTCACACAACCACCAGTTACGAATTCGAGAGTCTTTAAATTTGCCATTTCAATATCAGTATACGTGGTAATATGTTCATAGCCCCCATTTGCTTCGTTGACGTGGTTGTCCGTTTCTGTCACAGACTGTTATTAAGTCCACTCATTCCTTTTGAGGCTTCTTACCATCAGTTCCAACCAACATGACTGACACAAGGTCTGTCTTTCGGCCTTGGATGATCTGTTGGATATGTTTAGTGTGAGTATGCTGATGTAACCCAACCTTTGAGTGGAGAATGTGTTGGACGGCCATACACGCACTGTCGAGGTGACTTATTCCATGGCTGTCCTTTGTTCGCCACATACTGCGTCCTACATCGATTAGAAGGACGGCTGCTTCTTTGTTGGCCATTTTCAAGATGATTAATTGGCAAAACAGGAACGAAATTTAATCATAATTCATCTACTTCTCTCCTCGTGCCTCCTTTCTGGCGGCATGAGCTTCAGGGTCAAACTTTGTTTTGTTTGGTCCAGTCTTTCTCAACCGCTTTCCTTGTTTGTCTCGTTCAGCGGCGCGTTCCTCCAATTCTTTCTTTGAAAGCTGTCTTGGTTTCTCAAATAGGGAGGGGTCTCGTTCAGCTTCCAACCGACGCTCCTCAGCTTCTTTCCTCTTTCGCTCAAGCTCGGCTTCCTCCTCTTCAAGCTTCTTTCTACGCCAGTATTCGGCAGCTTCTTCTTCTTCCTTTTGTTTGCGAGCCTGTTCCTCTTCATCAGTCTCTTGCTTTGTGGCTTC